CCTATCCCCTGTGTGCCTTGCCTCCCACGACTATTTTTTGTTAATAGATTAATAATATATTATTTTGATTTTAATGTTGTTAATTTTTATTTATTTGAAATTATTAATTATATTTTATATTTTTATATTTTAGCGCCTCGCTTCGCTCGGGCGAGCGCCTGGGCGAGCGCCTAGCGCCTCGGGCGTTTGTGGACCTTGGCGCCTTTTGGCGCCTAGCGCTTTTTAAATCACTGAATCAAATATATCTCTCCCAAGGGCTACCTTTAGTGAGTATTGGCTAAAAGTTGGTTAAATGGTATGGCACTATGGCTAAGCTCTAATTGGGGTGAGAGGATGAGTCAAATATAAGAAATGCTCATTTCACCTCTAACTTACTGATGCAATGAACCTATCTCTTACCCTCTCAGCTTTACCTATCTGAATCATGTCCAAATTTGATTTCAATTGTCCAAATCCTTCCCTTTCTCAATCCCCCATTATCTAGTCTCTCTTTTACATGTGTAAATCATCTTATGAGAGAGAGAGAGAGAGAGAGAGATGTGTGATGTTATGAATGGAAGGAGAGAGATGCTTCATATTTATAATGAATGGATCAGACTGTTCCAGAGCCATTTATCAAGGGTGCATTAAGAAGTAATCCTCATGACCATTAATGTTCTGGGAGCATATCTGAAAAAGCAAACAAGAACTTGTTCCTCACAATCAAAGAAAACAGTAGGCCAATGATGGATAATTAGTGGGACATATTTGATAAACTTACTCTTTTGCAGATGTAGAAAGTTTTGGAGTTCAAAGGAATAAATAAGATATTTCAGTATTCTGAAGGATATGTATGAAATATTACCACAGTTCAGCAATTTGAGAAGAACAGAATGCCTTTTGTTGCCTTTCTTTTGCAACATCCTTGCATTACCTATAAGGCTTCCATACACAATGAGTGCTAGAAAAGATTCTAATTTGACACGCAGAGTTCCTGGACAAAGCGTGCTGCAGAGGTTGACAGCTCCCAGCCTATATCTTCTTCAGATAGGTTAGCTGATCCGCCTGATAGTACTTGTGCACAAGTAATTCATGCGACACCCAAAACCTTTTGTAAAGATCTGCTGCCTACATCTGCCAACAGAGAAAACCAGGGTAAGCTAATATTACTTCAAAAACAACTAATTTGTCACATATTTCCAGTGTTCTTGTAAAACTTTGGTCTGTCCTCTAGATGATTGCATGGGCAAAGACTTGGAGATTGGAGTCTGCAGGGCTCCAGAAATGCAAAATGAAACTAATCCTAGTGAGCAGCATTGTACCAAACAAACAGACACAATAGTGGATAAATTGTCTGCAAAGGACCCCAAGAATGAGGGCCTTCTAAGCACTCTTTGCAACAATCTGTTTGATGATTCAAGTGCTCAAGCTGCTAACCTGACTGGTGCAATTGATAATAGCTCTGATACTCAAGTGGCGACCGGAGCTATTCAGACTCTCAGTGGCTTCTCCAAGATCTCAGAAGGCCAAAATAAGATTAACTACACCTCAAAAGATTTGCTGCCCCTTGAGCTGAGTTTAAAGAGGTTGAGATCAATTGGTGAGAGTGGAACTGCCACTCAAGATGACCGAAATGTTGTAAGACGTTCAGATTTGTCTGCATTTTCAAGGTGCAGCAAACAAACAATTTAAAAATATATTGTTCATTATATAGCTCAGAAAGATAGAAGTTCTAACTGCTCTTATACATGCAAGGTATCACACATCTGCTGCTTCTAATCAAGCCCCCATCGGAGGTGGAGGAAGCTTCTCCCCACTTGACAATAGCTCAGAAGCAATTAAGACAGTATCTACAAACAATTTTATCTCTGGTTCCAATGTGGCTTTCCTGAAGCAAGGCTCCAATGGCAGTAGTAACAACAATGACATGGGATCCTACACCAAGAATGTTTTCACAAAACCAGCATCATACAAAGATAAAGCAGCATCTTCATTATTAGTCAAGTGTGCACAGACCTCAGCTTTTCATCCGGTGCAGTATCGAGCCTCAGAAAGCCAGGAGCCTGTGCAGGAGAATGTGGAAAATGTGACAACAGCTTCAGCCACAGGACATTTGAGGGATATCCATCATCAAGTCCCGGCACAACATCATCATCATCACCACTATCATCACCATCACCACCATGTTCACAATGTGCAGCAGCACAAACCACAGCTGCCACAAAATTGCAGCGACTTGTCACTAAAGAACAATGCAGGAGCTGCACCACAATGTGGGTCATCCAGTGTGTTTAATGGGCCAGTTGAGCGTAATGCTGCAAATTATTTCATAAATGGAAGCCACTCAGGCAGTAATCATGGAAGCAATGGAAATAATGGAAGTAGTACTTCTATCCAAACTGGAGGATTGAACATGGAGAGTGCTAATGGTATTGCAGAACAGAATGGCCCTGGAAGTGGAAATGGAAGTGGGAGTGGCAGCGGTAGTGGAATAGATCAGAACCGACTAGCTCAAAGAGAGGCTGCCTTGAAGAAGTTTCGGCAAAAAAGGAAAGAAAGGAACTATGGAAAGAAGGTAGTTCTATCTTTGCTTTGATAGTTTTAAATTGATTTTATTTTGAGAGCATGCACATTTATTTGAACAGTGAAGCATATGCACCCAGTGCACCTCCAATTTGAATTATCTTTGGCAAACTAAAGTTGTGCCTTTGAGATAAAATTGATTGGTGCACAATCTTCAGCTCAGTACATCATCATGTTGAAACCAAGGTTTTTAATCTCATATTGTACTGACATATTGAGTTTTGCTCGGTATGGTATGGTACCAGTGTACCATGCGGTATGTTAGGGTGTATCGAGTGGTATGCCTAAAATATGCATAAAACCCCTTCGAAAATATCTTGAAAATAGAAAAAAGTTAGGATAAGGTTTTTAAGTTAGAAATAAATATACATTTAGTATAGTTTTAACAAAACTAATGTAAATTAGGCAAGAATAGTGCCACATATCTTTTTCGAGCTTTGAGGAGTTGCCTTGTGCAAGGTTCGCAATTTCAGTTTGTTTCGGATCATCCTTCCATTAATATTGAATTATCTATAGAAAAGCTATTTGAATTGTCAGATTATTTTGTATACAACTTAAATTTTAAGATTCAAATAAATTAAGTAATCATATGTGTAGACATACCTGATTCTACCACCAAAACGAACGATGGGCCTCCACGGGTGGTGGATCGGGATCATCGATCCTATGTATCTGTATATTAATATGATATGTTTGTCGGACCTAATCCTGAAATTAATCCCACGACATAGTGTTTTGATATACCATATGTCATTTGCGCATTAATGTGGTAATGGTCGTAGGTTGATCATCGTGAATCACATGTGTCCGAGGCGGCTCCTGAGGCATGTATTGGTGAATGTCAGAACTTCTACTTTCGCTACTGATCTGTTGCTTCGTATCATATTGTTGCTCGGAGAAGTATGACCAACTATCACCGTACTGCTGTTGGCCATAACATTCTCCATAATACGATAATTGTGAATACAATGAGTTTCGTTCTGTGTCTATGTCGTGTAGGCTTTGTCGCATCTACTGAAAATCATCCACTGGCTTCCCCTTCCCCTTTCGTGTATAAACTTGACCAGTACCTCGTCGAGCTCCATGATTTGAATCTTTGGTGGCATGTGTAAAACACTGCTCCTTGGTCCATACACCACCCTCAAATTGTGTAGACGGGACCAACGACTCCCTAGTGTCGTCGCTGTCATCGGTCAAGGCATTGTTGTCCATGTCATTGCCATGTCTCTGGACCGAGCAAGTTGCTGAATGCGATTGTGAAGGTGTCTCATCGCCTGACTCAATTTTTTCCAACAGTGCAACTGATGCTACTGCTTTCCCCTGTCTTTGCCTTTGTATGTTGGGCGGATGACTGTGATGGTTGGGTGTCTCTAGTTTCTAAAGTAGATCTTGTCTAGCTCCTTTCGCCATGTTCTGACCGAGGGGGATTTTCCTTCTATTTGGGATGTGCTTCCTCTTCTTCTATTGCCTCGGTGATAAAACACGAAGGACGTTGAGGATCTCCCACCCCATCAAGTAGAGGATCCTCTTGGTTCTCCGTCACTTCGACCCACTCTAACATCAGCTCTAAATCTTCATTGTAGAAATAGAGGTCGAGGGGATCAATCTTTGGTTCCTTTGGCTCCTTGTCCAGCTCGGCACACCGCAACCTTAGTCGCTTGTTATAGTGGACCTATACCAGTTTCTCCAACCGTTTATACGATTGTTGTGGACCTTCGTATAAATTAATGCGAACGTTAACTAATTACGTTCGTAACCACTAGATATCATCGTTTGTGAAAGTGCACGAACGACAATCTTCCTTAAATTTAGTGCATCCCCCCCAAATTGTAGCCACCACTTTGTCACAGACTTAGTTGGAATTGCTGAAGTCATGAGGCACCCTTGCGACAAAGACACGGACTTAGCTGAAGTTGCCTAAGTCGTGAAGTACCCTTGCGCCAACTCCTCGGACTTAGTTGGGATTGCTTAAGTCATGAGGCGCCCTTGCGACATATGCGTCCGCAAAGGGTTAGCCTAGTTGCAACCTCGTATAGGTCCCGAAGGACCTGTAAAACAAAAGTTGATTAGACTAAAAATGAGTGACGGACAAGCCCTGACGTCTCGCGAAGAGGGAAGCTTTACAAGCAATTCAGCGAGCACCTTGAGTGCAAGAGAGAAAAGAGAGGAAGGAGAAAACAAGGACGTTAGAAGGTAGAACGAGCAGTTGCAAGTCCACAAACAACTACTCACCGGGTGCTGAGCGCGAAGGCAAGTTCCCATCAAGTTAACGTGCGAACTTATGAAGATTGTTCAACACTCGACACTATACCGAAGCCCCATCCAGCCCTATACCACCCGGGGGGTTCCAGGGTGCTGAGATGGTTGACATCTTGCTTGCGCGTGAAAACAGAGCCATTTTAGGGTAATTTTGCCCGGCGCAGTGATTGGTCGCATTGTAGTGCTGCAACCTATTCCAACATGCATTTTTACAAGCAAAAACACACAAAACCAAAACAAAAGATGCTGCTAAGCATCTGTACATGGATGCAAAAGCGACGAACGGTTCATTGAACGAAGTTGTTGCAAGTGCATGACGATCGTTCGTGACAACTCGATTGCAAAAAGATATAAATAAGACTTTATTAGCATAACAAATAATCAATATCAAATATAGTTGATAATAAATACCAGGATCCATAGGGTAATGCACGAAACTAACCAATTGTATCTCGGAATAATTGACCCTCCATAAAAACATCGACTGCATTAGTAGTGGATGACAAGAGTCAATATATAACATTTTTTAGTGTCGTTAGCAAATCATTTTGCGTTCCAAGAGTATATCGAAATTGAATTGTTGGGTTTAGATAATATGCTGCAAGACATAATATTGTTAGTAGAAATTTTTTATTCAATAAAAAATTATGAATTAAATTACACTGAATATAAATTTACTTGTATTATGGATATCTTGGTCCATATGAATTTTAGTCCTACGATCAATGATTTATAAGTATTGGTTGGCCTTAAAATTATCTTTGAATGCTTTCCTGACCTCCTCTCTTGTTGTAATCAACATATGTTTAAGATAAGGCATCTGTGGACACTCGTCCATATCGACCTTATGGAGGACAATATAAAGTGGTTCCACACTTTTTATGATTTCATTCACGATCTCCCAAAATCTAGAAGAAAGAATAGTCTTTTCCATCTTTTCATCGCTCAATCTCGAATATTTGGAATCAGACCATTCTTGTGAGGTGACCATTGCCTTGAGGCCCTACCTCTTTTACTGTAATGACTTTTACATAATGAAATTGACAGCAAACCGAATGACTCCAGGTCGGAGTATCTCACCATTTACATACCTTTATATTAAAGAGTCGACCCAAATATGATTATATATAAACTTTGTAATTGACTGTACTCCAGCTACCCACTTGCTGACCAATGCTAGCTCGCCAATATCCTTCAGCATTATATCCATGCGATGAGCTACACATGTAGTCCAAAACAATGTTTTTTCTTTTTTTTATCAATTGTAAACCGGCCCTTTTTAAATTTGCTCTATTATTGGTGACTATTTAGACAATATATTGTGGTCAAATCTCCTCTATTATAGTGTCCATCAAGTTTTCAATATAGTTTGTATCTTGGATTTTGTTAGAAACATTAACCGACTTATGAAACACCACCTGTCTGTTGCAATAAATAAAAAAAATTATGATACTCATTCTTGTTGATCCTGTCCAATTGTCACATATTAATGTTACCCCATATTCGTCTCATTGTCTCTTGAAAGATTTGATCCAATCCTTTAATTATGTTACCTCATCTAAATACACGTCGTGGATCTCCCTCGGTGTTTGAGGTTGGATCCTCATACTATACTTTTGAATAGAAGAGATCATGCTATAGTAATATGGACCTTGGGCCATGTTTGCTGGAATCCTATGAAAGCTGAACTATTTTGAAATTGCCTTCCCAATATTTCGCTTCTTTTCTTTTGCATATGTATCGTCAATCCGTGTTTGTTTCGCTGTTTGTGGAGGATAGACTTGCGAATCAATATCAACAATATCTGGTACGGACCTCTGCTTAACTGAGGAGGGGCAGTTGGTTTGCTCATGTTGGCTGACATCTGGATTCCACTACTACTGCCATGCTCCCATTGTGAGTCAGGTCGTCGATGTCTCGTTGCTTCGTCATACATATACTGATGCTCTAGTGATGCACGAATACCAGTTGTGAGATTCGGGTCGATTTCATCACCGCGACCCTCATAGTTGTCATAAACTAGTTCCTGCATAGTCCTACAGTATTCTTACTCAACTCTTACATTCTTTTTTGTTGTATCTTCTTTTGCTCGGTGTAACTTATTTCGAAATAATTAACGGACCTCCATCGGAACCTTCTTATATTTTGCAACATCGGGATACTCACCGGTTAAATTCATCTTCACCTGAGTGATTCCTCCATCATTGCCAATGTAGTCACAATAAATATATTGCCAATGATGATAATTCTCATCCATCTTTCGAGCATGAACCCAAACGTCATCATATGGCTGTTATTTTAATGTCATGTTCTTACCAAATTTAAATCAAATAAGCTATAATCATGTAAAGCATCCTAATAGGTATTAAAGATATTAAATTGACTCAATATCGATCAAATTTCAATTAAATCATCATTAAAAACATTAATCATAGCATTAAAATTTTTTATTAAAACCTAATTAAACTTATTTTACCACCATAAACATGTTAAACATATAAAAAAAAGCAATTTTAATCTAATATAGGTTAAATTACGATAAAATCATCATTACACACACTAATCACATAATTAACATAGTTAATTATCCACTAATTATTTTTCTTTCAACAATATAAGTATGTTGAACACTCTAATAGGTATTAAAGACATTGAATTGATCCAATATCGACTAAATTTTGATTAAATTATCATTAAAATCATTAATCATAATATTAAAAAAACTTTATTAAAGCTTAATTAAACCTATTTTACCATCATAAATATGTTAAACATATAAAAAAAATATTAAATATGTATTTTTTATCTAATATAGGTCAAATTACGATGAAATCATCATTCGATATACTAGTCACAATTAACATAGTTAATTACCCACTAATTATTTCTCTTTTAATATCATGTCAAACACCCTAATATGTATTAAAGAAATTAAATTGACCTAATATCAATCAGATTTCGATTAAATCATCATTAAAACCACTAATCGTAACATTAAAAAACTTTCTAATTAAATCTATTATACCATCACAAACATATGATCCAATACTTAATATGCATGAAATATAAACATTTAATCTATTAAGTGTCTAATTTCGAATAAATCAATATTAAACACAATAATCACACTATTAAAGATCTTAATTACTCACTAATTAATACTATTCTACTATCAACAACATATCAAACAACATATTAGACATAAAGTCATACATCGAATAGGCTTAATAATCTCATAAATCAATAAAAATCTAGAAAGAGAATACATATGTCTTGATAAAAAGTTCTTCCTCTTAATCCTACCAAGTTTGCCTCCTAAATTTAATTCAATCCACAAATCATTGCTTTGTTGAGTTTAGGAGAGTGAAAATGTGATAATAAAAGAGAGATTGTGAGTAAAAATGAGTTTTAGAGAGTTTAAGAGAGTGTGAGAATGAAATGGATTGAAAGAGAAAGAAGGAAAGGATTTAAAAACCCTTTAGGATACCTCCAACGGTCAAATTGATCATTTGAAAACCGTTATCAATCGGTAATGGTCGAAATCGATCGGTATCGCTTGGTACAGGTCAGTAATGGTCGAAATCGACCGGTACCGCTCGGTACAACCTCGTATCGCTCAATATGGAGCCAAAAACCTGATATTGCCTAGTAATGGGTGGTTCGCATGCTAGTTTGCTAGCGAATCGGTACCTACCATTTATACCAGGCGGTACAATACGAAATTAAAAACCCTAGTTGAAACGACCAATCCTGCCTTCTATCTAATAGAAGTAGAAAAGGAAAAAATTAATGCAAAAAGAAAAAGTGAAGCAAATTAAAAGGAAAAGGGCAAGCTAAAATATGGATATGGACTTTTACTAAAATATCTTGAAGAATCTTAATACTGGACCTCACTGCTTTTTTGTTTTTTTGCTGGTTCTTGGGAAAAATTGACACCAGAGTTTACTGAAGCAACATGAAATATAACTACTTGCAAACTCTTGTAAGTAATTGCTTTCTTTATTAAAAAAATGCTTTCTTTTGAGGAAAATTACATTTGATGTGCTGACTCTCGACATATGTGGATTTTGTTAGACCTGAAAGAGAAATAATCATCTGGAGATGGAGGTAATTAGCATAGAAGAGAAAATTGAATGTAGTGCAAAATAAAGAAAAACATGGGACTCAGAATTTATCCTTGATTTGACCACAGCCTAAAAAAAATCTCAATTGTCAATAGAAGTAGCATGTTTCCTTACTTCAAGCACAGTATGTATACTCAGGAGCATCAGGTAATGCATAATATGTTTTTCGGATCTTGTATTCTTCTTCGTTTCGGTTGTCACTATTCATTTTTTCTTCTATGGATAAAATAACCTCAAATTTGCAAGAACATTTACTTGTTCGATTAGGACGAGCTTTATAAAGAAGAAACCTTGTAGCATATCCCAAAGATTTGTTAATGTTGGTGTGCCCAATTGCCCTTGATATTCTGATCATTGAGTGATAATTTTATAGACCATCTGTGACCATGTGATTGCACCATAAGTTGAAAATACAGATGAAAGTGAAGTTTTAGTGGCTTTGATTTTCAGGTCCGCTACCAGAGCAGGAAAAGACTTGCGGAGCAGCGGCCTCGTGTGCGTGGGCAATTTGTGCGGCAATCCATGCATGAACATACTAGCCTAGATGCAGAAAGATGGCCTTCGTGACCATCTGATTGGACTGTTAGCCAGCAGGCATTTGCATTATCTCGATCCAAGTCAGTTAATTGATGGATAGATCTTGTATACACATGGCTTGAGAACACTAGAAAAAAGGGACTCTCTGTGCTGTACTAATTAGCAACTACATAATGTTTCTTAACCTTGTTCCATATCTATCAGCTACATTATGAAACTACATTCCTTAATCGGTAGAATTTTAATTATTGCTCTCGAAACTTCTGCTCTTATCATGATCTCTTTACGTTGTCGGCTGTTGGAATTATATTTGCAGATTAGCTTTGTTTTACCAATTTGAATTATGTTTGCAACGATCACTTGAAACTTGTGTGTGTCATGAGTGGCTGGCTTCGGGACACTTGGCCTTTCGGGATGTCTCACTTCTTCCTTTGTCATAAACTTTGTTGCTAGAGGACGAGATCTACAATGAATGCCTATGATGACTTCGCCACTTGATATCCAGGTCTGGCTCAAGTCTTTTCCTGTCTCAGAAATATAGCTCTTCGTCAGTATAATGGAAATCTAGTTTTGTTTACCTGCTTTTTCTTTTCGTTTCTTTTTTTTTTTGGTCTTCCTAAAATGTAACCCTTTCTTTTCCCACTTTACCAAGGGACAAAAAAAAAGGGCGATATGTGATGTCTTCATTTGCGTCATTCGCGGTTCATTGCTCCAAAGATCATTACTGCCATGATGTCAATTAACAGTGGTAGGAGAAGGCTTCATGGAAGATTCGGTAGCTGATGGTACTTCCACAGTTTTGAGTGCTATCTTGCTTCCCGTCATCTTGGCCATGTGATCCCAATTCTACTCAGCTTCCTTGAAAGCAAAGTCATCACTACTGACACAAGGGAATATGTCCGCAATAAAAAAAAAAAGATCGACACGACGTGGATTCTGCTCTTCCTTTTGTTAATAGTTCCAATAGTTCATTTCTCTTTCTCTTTTTGTTTTTAATAATTAGGGAAGAAACTTGAGATGCATGTCTTCTTCCCCAGTATGCCGTGGTGGTATCATTGGCTCACGGGACCAACATATTTGACAGTCTCCCTGCGGTGACATTTTCCCGTAAAAGTTTTAGTCTCTTTGGAAGACTAAAGAGGTCAAAATGGACTTGGAAGACTAAAGAATGGGAGGACGAATGGATAGTCAATTAATCAGTAAAATAATAGACGCAAAAGGTAATCAGAGGCATAAGAATAATTATACATAAGTGATGCAAACATAAGCTGTTTTGGAGAGGTGGGGGTGGGCGCAGGGTCACTAAATAAATATGAAATAAAATTCTAATTCCACACATAGGTGGCCAATTCATATTGTATTTACGATTATATGCCAAGATTAAGACCTTTAATTTTAAAGTAAATCTAATAAATATCAAGATAAAAGGCAGAGTACAAACAGTTTTTATTGTAAATGTTCATAATTGTGTAAAAAGGTATATCTATATACTATCTTCCGTTGTATAAATTATACACAGTACCTCAAGCTGTCTAGAATGTACTACGGAATTTTATCAGATAACTGTAAAATATTTGGGATCAAAATCTGCATCACTCATTATTTGACAATATCAATATATATATATATATATATAATATTTTTGTCATCAGAAAATATGTAGAAGGAATAAAGAAAAGAAAATATTACTATGAGAATGTGAATGCGAAGTAGTGAAGTAGATATTCGAATTATGAAAAGATATACATAAAAAAATGTTATTGCTAAATTTGCTCGAATCGTACATTTCGCTATTTTAAGCCGTTACGTTATAAATGAGAGGGGAGACCTCTCGCTTCCCCTAAATTATTTCTCCTCTGTCAGTCTCTCGCACTCTCTTTCCTTCTCATTCTTACTTCATCTGCGTCTATAGGAAAACACGGGAAGGGAAGAAATCGGAGGAAAATTTGGTGGGAGAGCGATGGGCGGTTGCTTTCCCTGCATCGGCAAGCCAGACACCGACGACAACGATCCGATCCCACCTCCGTTAGGTACTCTCTCCGGGCTTCTTGGCGCACAACTACGTTTTTTAGTCTATTTGGTCTTCCATACCAGATCGATCGAGTCGATGGCTCGTGATGTTCTTTCCTTGGTGTTTTCTTTTGGATAATCGAGTTTTGGTTGGATGCCTTTGGTTTCCAGCTGAAAGTTTGGATCTTTACAAACCCATAACACCGCCCACACCCTCCCCCCCCACCCCCCCCGCCAACCCCCACCAAAATCTGCGGCAGCGGTTCCTTCAGATTTTGTTCAGATGATGCGCCAAAGTTGGGTTTTTGCGGTGCGGTTTGGTGTTTGGTTACTGCTAGGATCTCCGTTCGCTGATGTCTTAGGAAGTCACGATGACGATCGATAGAATGGTTGCGATTTGTTTCTTTCAATCTACTGACCAAGTAGTCGATCTTTTTTATCTAAAGTATTTTGTCGCCTGATTTGGGCGAAGATTTGATATTTCTTCTTTAATTAGCGATATGGTGTGCCAAACTGAAGGAATACTTATCTGCACTGTGGTTCCTCCTTGTATTCCTCAAAATTTGAGCCTCCGCTTGTGTGTGCCATCTTATTGATCCCAAGCAAGAGACTTTTCTGGTCATGTTGAGTAAAATGCAAGATCTTTTGATTAGTTTGCGCTTTTTTTCCCGTTGTTCATGATTTTTAGCCATTGCTTTCTTGGATGTATAGCAGATAGGTCAAAATCAAAATCAAAATCCCCACTGGTCTTAAAGAAACAAAGCTCAGTGAAGGAAACAAAGATCTCGAGCAGTGGCTCTGGACGGATTGCTGCCCAGACATTCACATTTCGCGAACTAGCTGTGGCAACTAAGAATTTTAGAGCTGATTGCCTCTTGGGCGAAGGAGGATTCGGCCGAGTTTATAAAGGAAGGTTGGAAGGTAGCAACCAGGTCAGTGCATGTCATGTATTTGACCCTTTATTTACTTCTTTTGACCTTGCAAATCAATATCTCTGACTTTCAATTAATGAATTAAATCTTCGTACGTAGTTGTGAAACTCTAATATGCAAGGTGTTATTGTTGTTTATTTGACCCATTTATTCTTTCATTTTGCAACAAGATATCTTGTCAGGAGCGCTTTGGTTATCCCTTTTGATTCTCCGAGCTCCTCCTCTTCATCTTCTATTTAGGAAACAGTAAAACAAGGCCATCATTTTAAAACTCTAAGAATCAGTTGTTGCTTGTCGAATATATGATATATTTGTATAAAGTTGGTAACAAGAAACTTATTTCACTTTCAATAGATTGTGGCTATCAAGCAGCTCGATCGAAATGGCTTACAAGGAAACAGGGAATTTCTTGTTGAAGTTCTGATGTTAAGTCTTCTTCACCACCCTAACCTTGTTAATCTGATCGGGTATTGTGCTGATGGAGATCAAAGGCTTTTGGTCTATGAATATATGCCATTAGGATCCTTGGAAGACCATCTTCATGGTATGATACATTAGCTTCATCATCATGTTGCTTTCATTACCATTTTGTAAATATTTATTTCCATTTCAATAATGTCTGGTCATGTGAATGCAACAGACCCTTCTCCAGACAAGAAGTGGCTTGATTGGAACACTAGAATGAAAATAGCTGCAGGTGCAGCAAAAGGATTGGAGTACTTGCATGATAAGGCGAGTCCTCCAGTAATATATCGTGATTTAAAATGCTCCAACATTTTGCTTGATGAGGAGTATAATCCCAAGTTATCGGATTTTGGCTTGGCAAAGCTTGGTCCTGTCGGTGATAATACTCATGTGTCCACCAGAGTGATGGGCACGTATGGGTACTGTGCACCTGAATATGCAATGACCGGACAACTGACACTAAAATCAGATGTTTATAGCTTTGGGGTTGTTCTTTTAGAGCTCATCACTGGAAGAAGGGCTATTGACAATTCTAGAGCGGCTGGTGAGCACAATCTTGTTGCATGGGTGAGTACCTCTGGTATTTTTTTTCCCTGTGCATGCATATCTTATGAGGGTTGATTATTTAATCTGTCTCCCTTTTATTGTTTTATATCAAAATTCAACTACCATTGGTCAATAGTTATCTTGCACTCTGCTGAACCATCTGTTTTACTTTTGCCTCTGAAGTTTACAAACAGCACAAATGCATCAATGTGACTGCAAACATAAGGTAAAATGAGTCTTGAGGTCTCACTTTCTTCATCTATGTTTTCATCTTGTCCGATACTAGTAATTGCAAAATACCACAGCTACCTCTTTGGTTTCATTAAGTAGGACCTGAATTCCCTTGTTTCTGGTGCTTCTGGATCTAGGCTATGACACCAATGTGTCTGCTTTATGCTTTATTATGAGCTGTCATCTGGGCATGCTTGACTAGGACCTTGTTATCTCGCCTTAGCATCAAGTCTGTGGTTGGAACCAAGGTAACAGGTCCTGGCTCAAGATCTCTAGCTCTATATAAAGTTAGATTTTAAAAAAGAGAGTATTGCCATTATGAGTATTCCTGTCGATTTGGAATTACTTCTGTTCGGCACACAGTTATTTTTGGCTTGTGACCTGCATGATTCTTTCCAGAGAGAGATTCTTCGTGATATCAATTCTATGAAACTCTTGGATTCTCTTATGCATCAACAATCTTTGTCGATATGCTCTATTTGGTTGCAGGCACGACCATTATTCAGAGACAGGAGGAAATTTTCACAGATGGCTGATCCTATGCTTCAGGGCCAGTACCCAGTCCGGGGCTTGTACCAGGCACTTGCCGTTGCTGCAATGTGTGTGCAGGAACAGCCTAGCATGAGGCCTCTAATAGCTGATGTTGTAACAGCCCTCGCTTACCTCGCTTCGCAAACTTACAACCCCAAGAACCAACAAAACCAGCACACTTCTCGGCTACCAGCACCGGGTACACCTCCTCAGACACGATTGGACATTGAAAAGAAACCAAGCGGTGGATCTGAAAGAGATCGATTGAGAGGATTGAAGTGAAATCATCCAACAGCATCAATGCTTATTCGTTTGTTGATCCATTAACTCACCCATTATGCCATGTCTCATGGCGGAACAGAGGAAAACTACACCATGTGTTCATCATGGTTCGGGTCTCACCACTATTCAGTCTTTGGCTGTCTGTTTGGCGTATGTATAACAAATTTGCCATGCTTGAGCATAAAGTGTCAGGAGGTAATTTTTTTCGGGATTGTATATGTAAGTTTTGGTCTTTGTATCTAAGTGCATTGTGTTAGACATCATGTATCATATTGATATTATTTTTTGATCTTGTTCTACAATCAAGCCTTTATATTTGTTTCTACTCAAATTCTTTGGTATGTCTTTCTTTTATTGTCACCACCACATGCTATCACATCCAGTTGATGGAGCTGATTTATAGTGAGGCTTTTGTCTTTGTTTAACATACTTAAGAAACAATAATTAGCCATCCTTTCTCTACCAACAAGCTTAAGGACATGCTTCTTTTCTTGGTTTCTTAATTTGGTAGTTCCATGCAGATCCAAAATGACTGCTTAAAATCTGTTCTCAACAATGTTACATGCTTTTGTATCCAAAGGAAAAACAAAAGAGAATGTTGCATGATTTGGTTATGAGAAAGACAGCATAGGCATGCATCAGGTGAGTTTGCAAATGACAACAGTCAGGTCCAGCCTAGCAAGTGTGGCATTGATAAAGGATGACTTGTGTGCACAGGTAGGTCCCAGTATTATGTGTCTTGCCCATGGTAGGATGCTATAAAAAAACTCACACACAACTTGCATGAGAGAGAGAGAGAGGAATTGTCAAACTATAGAGAAGGACAGCCTTAAATAGTACCTTTTGATCCCTGGAGTAAATTCAAATTACTCTTCTCGTTGTACTATGAAAGAGCTGGCACCTGCAGGCTTCAAGAACTCTTCGAGTTGATGCTCCCTCTGGTGGAAGAGCACTGTAGAGAACAGAACCACAAAGACACATCACTCTCTCAGATCAAGAAATCACATTCAATGACTCCACAGATTTTTGGATCCATTCTTTGATTGTATTGATGAGGCTCTTCTTCTTCTTCTTCCCTCTGTTGTGAGAACATGTCAGAGAATCTTGTAGTAGATCCTGGTCCTTCTTATAGAATTATTTATGGGATAATGTTGGTTTTGGTAAGGTGGATAAGTGGATTTGCTAATGCAACGCTGTCCTTGGTTGTCCACCACCATATCTTTCCGCCACTATAGAAGTCACCCATGACTTGTGTGCACGGAGCCCAATAGTAGCAGTTGACTCGTCACGCGGCCGGAAGAGAGAGAGATGCACACGTTCATGGAGTGGGTGTTCATGCCTGCCGGACTGCCGGAACTGTAGTCAAGGACCATATATAAGTCATAACCATGAAATAAGGAAGGCAAGCACGCATCTAATGGCCAGCATCAAGATCTAAGCACGCATCTAATGCCATAAAGTTGGCATGTGGAAACAACACAGGGACTGACAGGGCTCGAATCTTTGACCTACTATTGTCTCTGTTACGTGTTGCTGGTAGCACAAGACAACGGAGATTCCAAACACCCACCCACTGTAGCAGCCATACGAGACAGCCTGAAACTGCCCCATTCTACTTTCTCTTTCTTGGATCTAAAACAAAATTCTTGTCTTCATCGTTACCTTTGTGTTATTACATTATAATACCATATTCATGATACGATATATCAAACAAAAAACTATCATTTGTTATTATATTGATGACATAAATATACAAATTGTCATTTTGGCTTTAAACATATTACTTGTGTATATATATATATATATATATATATATATATATATATATATAGATCCATTTATAATAGATAGAGGGTCTGAAACCTCATTCTATAATTAAATTAGTAAGCTTGTGTCATATCATCACAAAATTCTAGGATATATATAAATATATATTCACCGATTATTATTTAATAGAAAATGGGTTATATATATAATAACCAACCATCAACTAAGAAACATAATCTTATAATCTTATAGTAGTAGTGCATATCAAAATGGAAGAGCTTAAGAGGCATACATGAGACCTTAGTTAAACATGAGAAAAACTTGAAAAGACGATTTCTTTAGAAAATATTTTATATTTTTAATTGATATTTTTATATTATTTTTTTAATAGTATTTTAATTTAAATATATTCGAAATTATCCTAAAAAAATTTTCATTTATTGTTTTGGTCTGAGTGTTTTGGCCACCATAAAAAAATACTGTAAAACCTATTTAAAAATACTATCAATAATCTAAATAGACTTTTTAATCTTAATTTAATTAATAATAACTTAAAATATATAATATTATAATGATTTATGAACGATGATAATAATACGATGTCATTTATAATATATTTTCAATAATATTTACCGTCTCCTCAATATATTAATAAAATATTATAAATATTATTAAAAATATATTATAAATAAGTTATTATAATGATTAAAAATTGATTTTAAAAAAAACTAAAAAGAAATTTTTTAGAAAAGTGTTTTGAATATGAAGTATTTATTATCTGAGGGGAATAGCGAGCGAGGAGATGCCATGAAATCGCCCAACTTCGAATGTAGTTTTCTCCCCCGGAAAACACATTCCGCCGCCCACAACGCGGTCAACCATTTGCATTCGAGTCCAACGACGAGCAGCGTGTGATTTGACATCGACATAAAAGCAAACACTTTGTCGGCAGACACAGGCCTTGGTAGGTGGCAGCCCTTCTCGAGCTTCGCAGTCCCCCCTGCGGTTCGGTGGGTGGGCGACATCCCCTCTGGCTGAGGAGAGCAGCCCCTTCCATAAGATAAAAAGCTTTCGTCCTTCCTTTCTCGGTTGTGTACGTAACCAAGCACGGTAGAACAGTGTCGTAGTACTGCTACGCAATGCATAGGCTGGCTGGATACAGCATCCACAACCATCACAGCAGGAGCCAGCAAGTCAAACCACGTCTGGTATTTCAGAGTTCCATGTGTCAACCCATCGTAGACCATTGCCATCGTCGGTACTCTTCATCTGTGCAATCACTGTTTCCAAGTGGTAGCAACGACAGCTCGATATTGTCCTTTGTATCATCCAGTACAAGTCGATGGACTGCTCGATATCTCAGCAACATGTTCGCCACAACTGCATCTCCTGTGAGATCAGTGCAAACCTGCAGGTGGGACATGGCGATGTCTTGTTCTTATGATAGACAAGGCAAAGAGCCGCAGACTCCATCATCCTTCTTTCTTACGACGAGTTCAAACGAACTCCCAAAGGAGAGAACAGCAGTAAAAGCTTCGAATGGGCGTGGAGTACGTCGATGCATGAAATGCATGCATATGCTGTGTAAATGCAACTGATATCACAAGTATCCACCGCCAACGGAATAACACACGACCCAATATATAGATGTTGGCAGAGAGACGAAAAGGCAAATAACAACGGTGCGATGTATTCACAGAGGAAAACAAGTCTGTCATCAACTACTACATGTTACAGTGCAACTTCGCATTCACTTCTAAGCTGTTGGATGCTCTCCATGTCAGTGACGCTGTTAAACTCTCCATACTCGACTATAGGATCATCCTCATTAAAGTAATCGGATCTTGCGTTCATCGTCAACATCTGACAGATGAGCCAGAAGATAGCAGCGTCGAGGGCAAGGAAAGCACCGCCACCAAAGAGACCAGTCTTAGCAGTAGGGCACCGTGTAGTGAGATCATGGTGGACATTGCGAGATCTGTGAAGGCCTTCGGAGACGGTAGTCCACACCAGCATGGCCAGAGCTATAAATGTAACACCTCTGCGACCGGAGAAGTAGAACATCAGAAAGAATGACTCATATAAATGGCATTTGAAGAAGATGATGGAAGCTTACTCTGCAACGATGAAGAATGGAAGCAAGATGGTGTTCTGGAACAAAGCATTACTTGGAACAGACTTGCCTTTGTAGGGAAAGTAAATGGCAACATGGCCTGCTACGGCAGCTAGAATGAGTGTGACGACAGACGAAGTTCCCAGTAGCACTGTTGGATCATCTGGGAAATTGCAGATAATAACATCCTTTCCTTGGATTGGAGTGCCGAAAGCAGGCTGTAGGAAACATGAACGGATCCTTGTGAGGGGGGTTTGAGAAGAACAGAAGAAAATGAGAGGATAAAGACATGTTAACTGCATCCAATCCATCACCATGGAATCATTTTTTGTTTGCACAGAGGTGAGGTGGAGACCCATTATTTGTATTGGAAAGGAGGAGAATGAATGCTTGATGAGAAATATGATAATAACTACAACCCAAAATTTAGTTTCCGAAAAGTTGGCATGACAATAAATAATTATAAGGCTTTTCTTTTTCTAACATTTTTACTAATTAAGTACAAAAGTCTGATAACCCAACCTTCTCTCTTTCTCTATGTGCTATCGACAAGTATGTTTCCTCCTTCCTTCTCTCTTTCTCTACCACCTCCTCTCTTTTCCTCCTCCTTCATCTTCATCTTTTTTTTCTTCTTTCTTCTTTCTCCTTTCTCCACCACTCCTTCATCTTCTCTCTTTTTTTTTTTTTTCTTTCTCTTCAAAATACTAATAACGACTAATATTCGATCAGATCATCGAAATGGATCCGATACTCGAAACTGAGATCTTTGCATAAAATAGAAAAATCAATCTAATATAATTTATTATATAACCAGAAATCATTTATATTGAAGGAGTCTTGAACATATAGAAATTAAGAAGAAAAAAAAAGGAGAAATCTTAGAGCACAAAATGACATTGGAAACAAATGACAAAGCAGCCTACCTTCAAAATTTTTAGCTACATTTTCTTCACGCTAGGAAGTTCATATGGTTGCATGTAATTAAACAGAAGCCTTGGGTTTCATTTATATATCCAAGTGATGTGCCATGAAGAAGAACATACTCATAAGGAATGCTGGCTGATATCCAAAATAAAATATGCGAAAACAACATGCTGCTTTAAAAACCAGACTGCGACATAAGACATGCCTTTTTGTTTTCTGCAACTATACCAAATGCGAAGGACACGGACCCAAGAAAAAGCACAGAGAGTGCAATACTTGTGGTTTGATCGAAGGCCATTGCTTCAATCCTCAAATAGCACTCCTGCAACAACAAAGTGGAATGAGATCCCGATTAATCGATTCCAAGCCCAGAAAATTAAAAATGGATAAAAAGCATCACCTTTAGCTCGCCAAATCAATGGAAAACAAGAAAGAAAACAACGAAACATCACCAGACGAAACCAGATCAAATCAAAATGCTCCTTCTCGGATCGTCGACAAGGACGAACAAGCTTAGATTTTGACGACGCCACAACATAGATCCAACAACAGATGGAAAGACGGAGCTGCATGAAATCTACAGACTGGGGTTTCCATACCTGCGGGATCCCTCGGGAGAGATGCCTGGAGGTGATGATTTGGGGGTCCGGTCACCTGCCCAACTCCCCGTCGACCATCATTTTATACTACACGGAGACGAGGGTATTCTAGTAAATACGTTAGAATTAAGCACCCGAACCGTAGATCCCACCTGTGATGCTCTATTGGACGGCTCTGATGTCGGTATCGGACAGCGGTATGCGGTAGCCATTGGAGGCAATCCTACAACCGAGGAATCCGTGTACGCGCAACGGAGCTGTCCAATTTAAGATCGATGAGCTAACGAAACTGCCACCGAACGGTAGGTAGATCCCACCTGTGATGCTCTATCGGACGGTTGTGGTTTGGGAATCAGATGGCAACGTATGCGGTAGTCATTGGAGACAATCCCAGAACCGAGGAATCCGCGTACGCGCAACAGATCCAGAAAGATTCCGTCGTCTGTCCAAATTAAGATCGATCAACTGACAAACCGCCACCGAACGCGACGGTTAGCCGTTAAATTCTGGCGCGCAAGCTAGAATGGCGCCTAAAAACTGGTTAATGAATCCGCACCAATCAATTCGTAGGCAGTGCGAGCAGCTATTTCAAGCTACTGACACTGATAGAAATTTACCTCATCCTGCACACGATGAACAGAACATCTTACGATTTTGATGTATCTGTCAATCAACTTCAAGGTTTTGGTATTCTTCATATCCATGGCACTGGGAGTTGCTGAAACCTGCAATGAAGCTTCCTCTGTTCCATTGATAAATTTGAACTAGTTTCTGAAATATTTATTTCATAATTTCTCATATCGACATCCATATTCGTCTAACAATAACAGCCAAGGGGGATCCAATGAACCAAAGCATATAAACTTGTAGGCATGATTTCATTGTCATAGTCGCAGAAAAGTTTAAGATCCAGATACAATTAATGGACGAAATCACAATTCGTCGACCATATAAACTTGGCATAAACATGCACCCGGGAAATTGGGATAAAAGGAGAGATCAACCTCAGCGAAACCCACCATCAGTCCACAATGAACCAGATTTTCCATTTTGATTGACACCCTTGTTTAGATTATCATGGCCAGCATCATCTCTAACATCATCCCAACCTGCCCAGCTTTCACCTCTTTGTGTTCCCTTCCCAGGCTCTTCCCTCCTCTCTTTCTTATCCCAGTCATCCCAGGAACTGATGGAATTGTATTGTTTATTTGAGTCCTCTTGACGGGAACTCCAACCTCGCTTGTCCTGACCAAATTCTTGATAGTAGCTGCTCTTTTCACTCTCTTTTCGTGGCCAATCGTCCACATTCCAGCTGATCCCTTCTTTGGTGTAAACCTCTACTTTTTGTGATGCCATTGCCATTACACCTTTCATGATTCCCCATGTCTTATGCCCAATTTCAGTGGTTTTTGTGGCTACCACACTCATAGTTTCATTGACTTTCTGATCATACCCTGACTCTTTCATCTGTGTTACAGAAAAGTACAAATGAAGATATGAATATGATACTTTTGGTTGATATATTCGTATGCCTAAATTAAACACTTGCATTACATAATTCCTCAAATATCAGGTATAAAGAAAAAGTTCCTTAAATTCTCTGAACATACCTTTCAATTGTTAGAATATAATACATTGCATGCTAATATTACTTCTTGTTGCATGTAGGACAAAAACATTTCTGGAACTTACTTTTCTAGCAAGTTAAAAGAGTTCGTGATAATATCTCATCCATTAAAAGAATATAAGCAAAACACCAAAAAGAGAAACATCGACAAGCAAGCGGTGTTAAAGAAAAGAAAAAATAAAGTCATATGTTTGCAAATTGATAAACAATTTGGACATATGAACATTTTCAAAGCATACAACATGACTCTCCGTGGAAGCTACAGTAGAGTGAGCTACAAAGTTTCATAAGATTTACATGTTATGCAGCAATATGAATATTTGCCCACATCGACATACCTTATTATTATGTTTGGAAATAAAATTCAAGAACCGAGATATGATTCACTGAACCAGCCTAGGCTACCCTAGACATGAATCATTCTTTGTAATGTGGTTCTTCCATGTAAATTCTGTTGTTTATAGAATTTTGGAAGTATTGGCTGCTACTACTAAGTTGGTGGTCATAGCAACAACAAAAAACAAGTCTTTGTATGCCTACAGGGATTTCTTGCTATTGAATTCTGTCAAGGACAGTTATCCCCGGATTGTTTCTAAGCAAGTCTCTTGAGACCTTCCTATGACCACCAGTTACTGTCACACTCCTCAAATTAATACATTTAAGAGGTGTGAACCTATCTTTAATTACGAATATTATAATTCGTCCACAATCCAAACCCGGGATTCAAAATGATATTTGAGGACACTGAAAATCATTCAAACATCATTCACATCCATAAAACTTATATAGTTTATAATCATACATCATATCACTCGATAATTCATGAAACCCAAGGCCAGCTAAAAAATTCCAACTTCATATTCTAAAATTCCAAACATAAGAGGTCTTTTAACTTTTATAAGATGCATTAGTTTGGATTTGTTGATAATAATTCATGGCAAACATAGTGTACTCATACAACAACAACATATCAACCAACAAAGACTTGTCCAAAATCTCCTAGCTTTCCACTGTCTCAGCCCAATCCTAACATTTTAGTGAGTAACAAGCTAACTTGAAAATTTTATATAACAACAAGGTGAGCTACAAAGCTCAGCAAGCAACTAACATATCTATGACGAAAGGTGGTAGTTCATATAACCTTAATATCAAGGTGTAAGGCAGGGATACAAGAATTCATATTTGTCATTTCATTAAATATAAGAATCGCAAATGTCATTTCATTAGAAACATACTTTGTTCATAACAATGGAGTAAAGAGTATTTAGGAGCATATCAATGACATAAGAATATTTAGGAATATATCAAGAGAACAAATGAGAAACATAAGCTCAAGTGTCATATTTGACATTACATTCATATCCAAAGAGCACATAGGAACACATAAGCAATACTTTAAATAACATGCTAAAGGACATGGAGGGTGAAATGGGATTATAACATAATATGGTCCATCAATTTCTAGATGACTATCAACACAAGTCTCCCACGTTTGGGAGTTTCATCCCCCCACGTCCGAATGAAGCCATAAAAGAGCATCGCAAGCTCTATATATAACTCTCTTTCCTATTTCTAGCAAAGGTTTACATTATCCCACAAACACTAAAGTACAAAAGGATGTTATGAATAAAAAAATAAGCATGTATAGGAAGCACATGTGAAACAATAAAAATATACATGTGCATATATGAAACAATTTGAGGCAAGATAAAACTTTTACATAATGCATTTAGATAGATAAAAATCAATGACAAGAGATACCAAAGTTCAAAGCAATCAAATAAGGCTTAGTTTAGGGAAAAATTCTAGCAGAATCTACAAGACACATTGCACGAATTACTTGAACAATCAATCATGCTCCAATTTACTTAAGAGATATATCATTTGAAAGATATATCAGTTTACTTTGAAATGACTCAAGTTTTGTACAAATTAAAATTTTCAATTGAGAGTTACAAACAATTTGGTATAGATAGGTCATAAAATATTATCCCTGTTTTACAAAATCTGAAGGGTCAAGTGAAACAGATGTTTGGGCAGGCAATTGCATTCCAAATCTTTCAAGATATTGAAAGAAAGATATATAAGTCTAATTTCTAAAGAATTAAGTTTCATACAAATTGGAGTTTCCAACAGAGAGTTACAAGCAATTTAGTATAAAAATGTCAGAAATTATCATCCCTATTTTGCAGAATCCGAAGGGTCAATTGAAACAAATGTTTAGGCAGACATTTGTATTCGAAATCTTTCAATAAGATACTGCAAGAAAGATATACGAGTCTAATTTCCAAAGAATTAAGTTTCGTACAAATTAGAGTTTTATACAAAATGTTATAGTTAAACTCTACAAAGTACTCATAATCAAGATGAAATCAAGGATAAGAATTGTTGTAGGATGGGTTAGAAACTTGCCTTAGAAGAATTTGATCCCAAGGGTGAGGAACTGATCCAAAAATCTCAAGCCAAGCAAAACTTCTTCGTTTCCTTACAATTCCTCTTCCCTTCCCTTCCTCTCTTTCCTTCTCTATTCTTCTCTTCTTCCTCTATCATACTCGCAGCCTTCTCTTTCCTTCCTCTCTCTCACTCTCTCTCTCTCTCTCTCTCTTTTCTTCTCCCCTTTCCTTCTTCTCCCTTCTCCCTTCTCTTCACTTTCATTCTTCTCCCTTCTCTTCTTCCCTTTCCTTCTTCTCCCTTCTTTTCCACCGATGCAGCAAATCCTCTATTTTCCTTGGGCAAAAGGTAGAGGGATAAGTGTGCATAGAAGGCGGTGGGAAGAAAACCCTTTTTTTGTATCTTTTGCAATTTAGTCCTCGTAATATCTATATTTACATATACGTCCTCGGATAAAAACATTACATCCTTCCCTCTGAATGAAAAGTTTAGTCCTATAAACTTCACTTCTAATTCAAAAGATAACCACTATTGATATTTCTTCATGACATCAATCATATCATAACATCATATTTGGCTTAACTTAATATGAATCTTTCCTAACTCACATTCAATGGCTAGGATTCACAATTTGGTCCCTAGAAATAAGTTTTCAATATAAAATCATTTAATGCAAGAAATTATTAAATAATCCTCATTAAAATAACAAGAAAATCATGGACATCATAAACAATTCAAAAACAAAGGATATCACAGTTACCCATATGATCCCCAACTTACAACGCATTACTAGATTTCCTTCATTTTATTTGAGATTCATACCATCATTAATTTTCATAAAAATAGTCATTTTTATTGACTTTCTAGATAACAACAAACATTCATCTCAACATTTAGATCTGTGCTAGAATAGCTTTTTTGATATGTTGTTCACTAACTACTCAACATGAACAAAGCATAGACGGTTTTATAATAGACTTGTAACATACTTCCTTTTTAAGTAAAAGTGTGCTTCGTGGGCACACAAGCGTGGAGGTTTCCACAGGTTCTCTGAAAGATAAAATGGTTACGATGGCAATAAAAATTATCAGCACCAATATTTGTTTGAAGCTCAAGATTGTCACATGGTAGAAGCACCCAAAAGATGTACAACGTCTACACCATTGTTTGGAAAGCTAGATTTTGAAATATTCCCCAGAATAATCAAATTGTGCTGAAAAGGTGAGATATGAAAAATGGGTAAAAAGGGCAAAAATTACCTTGGAAGTCAGCTCCTTTCTGCCTGCTTGGACAGCATTAGCAGCAGAGCTTGCAACTAAGGATAGTCGGCCAAGACCCTAACAACATGAACAATAGTCAGTTGAAAGTTATTCAAGTTAGTAAGCCCCATGACCTAAAAACTGAACTGATGGGTAACAAAGAAAAATCTCATAAACCATGAATATGGGAAATAGAGTATTTACATAACTGAACCTAAGTGCTAACTAAATGCACATTCAGAATTTAGTTACTGATTTCATGCAAAATATTGGATCGTGTCTAACTGGTGAGGTCCCTACAGCAAACACTATGATCAGAAATATAAAGTTATAGACATCTGTCTGGGAGAATAAAACAGAAAGAAAGTATTAGAAATTGAAGGAAACACAGAAGACAGTGTCAACGGAAAAAGAAGGCAAGGCTCCAACGAATGCATGGTTTGGGGAGGTCTAATATACACAGCTGTACCCTGCAAGAAAGGGTGTTTCCATGAGTTAAACCTTGATGATCCAGGCAGCAAAGAAGCAATTTTAACATGGTGACACATCCAGTAAAAATGTCAGATAAAAATTGAGGTTTACACGGTTGATAATGATTGAGAACAAAACATGAACCAAGAGGGTAACATACTGAAGGGTGGATAGGAAAGTGTGCTTTATGGTGGTTAAGTTTGCACGAGAACAGCTTGTTGCAACCTCAAGTTGAGGACTGGAATAGATAGTTGAGAGCTAGTTAAAACTTATTGGAAACAAACATCAAAATGGATTTGTATGAACTGGTCAATGGATTGTCCTCTTTCCTAAGGTCGAACTAGCAGAGCAACATGGTAAAAAGGGGTTCCATGCAGATCAACCTTAAATTTTGGGACCAATGCAACACACATAATTTAAAAGCTCACGCTTTGTGGCAAACTATATATGTATAGGCATGAAACTCAAGAAAGAAAAAAAAAATTCACTAAGGGGCTTCTTGCCCAAAATCTTATTAGTTAAAAAAGGAATCTGCTAAGTCATCAAAAAGTGGCCAGTGGCCCAAAACTTTTCAAAAGTTGCAACACAACTAGGTCTCCTAGCAGGCCATATAAATGCAACTGAAGAAAGAATATTGATCAACAAAGCCACCTATTACAATATATACTTTCAGGAATCACAAAATACATGACCCATGAGTCTTCTAAACCCCAAAGTGAAGAACATTCATGCAATGAAAACATAGTTATTTTGATATATCAGAACATGAACCGGAAGGTATTTTTTGTGTGAACTTATGTTAATGTATTATTTCCATGATCAAGAAAGAACACATGACTTAGAAAAAGGGTCTCGGTATCAAACTGATGTTGCTGAGTGAGAAACAGTATTTAGTGAATGACAATTCTTGTTATGATTTCTAGAAGAACAACGCAATACACCAAGTGATTGCACCTTTGCTTATAAAGCTCTAGAAAACCTTATCGATCATGGAGTTTCACACTCGTATAAATGGAATTCTCTTGGTCGCCTAACTACAGATAAGAGACAGATGCGAAGATAGAGTATACAGATAGGCAAGTCATATGTGCCTTGTTCGTCACCTGAGAAACAACAGATACTGTATCTCGGAGCACATCGCCCTGTGAATTATTCCTTCGAGGCGGCGGCGGTGTCGACCCGAATCCCACGTATTTCCCCCCCTGCGATGGCGGGATTCCTTCAGGCCGAGATCCATTTTCTTCCATCTTCCTTGCGAAAAAGCTCTCCTTGTTAGCCGCGGAGGCCTCCAGCTGTGCCCTGGTGTAGATATCCTGTGTCGATCTGTTTCTGGCCGGCTGGTGCGCCCCTCCCGCACTCGGGTCTCTGGAATCACCCGTCCATTGGTTCCTTCTCACATCGGAAGAGGAGGACTGGAAGACATGGTTGTCCCAACTGTCGCACCCACCGTTGCCCGTCAAGGTTCTGCCATTCCCACCGCTCTGCACCAAAGGCGGCCTTTTCGCCCCGGCATCGGGAGTTTCTTTGACGACCGGCGGGTCCGTCCAGGGGCGGCCCTCAGCAAGGGCCAGGATGCGCTCCCGGTAGACGGCGGCCGCACGGGTATTGTACTTGGGGACGATGTCGGTCTCCCTGGAGACGCCATATCCGGCGAGGAAGGCGTTGAGGCGGTCGTTGCCGCCAGCCTCCATCTTCTTGAGCTGGATCTCGGACCACGAGTCCATGGTGACGGACCGGACGAAGCTGATGTGGACGCCCAGGCCGCGGTGCTTGCCGGAGCACTCGAGGCAGATGAAGACGCCGTAGGAGACCGAGGCCCACTGCGGGTTCTTCTGGGCGCAGTCGACGCACGACTTGTTCCCCGGCTGCGACTGGAGCTGGCGGAGGCGTCGCGAGGCCGCGGCGGCAGCCATCCCGATCCAGACGTGTCCCGGATAAGAAGAGGGACGAGAGATTAGGGATTGATTGATCTAACAAGGCTTGATCCTCTCCTTACGAATCTCTCTCTCTCTCTCTCTCTCCGTCGGCTTCGTTTTCGTGGGTGGTCGCCGACACGATGTCAAAGGAAGTCTTCAGGTTTTCTTTTTTGGGGAATAAAGTTTCGCGTGTTGAGTGGGAGACGCGAAGTGGAAATGGCGTGGATCGCGCACGATTAGCGGACAGTCGGTGCCGAACTCGTGGCCGGAGCCTCGCTGTATTATAACGATGATGACAACTCGGCCGCTTTCGGCCTCGGAGACAGCACACGATTTTGACAACGACAACCGCGGAGCATTCCTCTGCACGTGGATCTCGGTGCCACATCATCGGGCAGGTCGTCGCGCTGCTTCTGTGGTGCGTGACGTGGAACATGTTCTTTCAAGATCAACGTGAGGGTTGACGACCTGCGGAATGTATTTTGACCTCTGACTGTCTAAGCATCGGGAGGAATATGGATGGATTTCTTCAACTCGAAGAGAGAAGGAAAGATTATATTCTTTCGATTCAATTCAACCCGACTTATTCCAACCCCAATCAATCATCTAAATTCCGGAGAAACTTATCCAAAAAAATCTTTCTCGATTTGGCAATTTGACTGATATGGTCAAATCTTATCATCGATCCACGTTAGGAAATATTATTGATGATGATGAAACTGGACGGAGGAATGTTTTGTTCCCAAGGTAGAAAACACTTGTCATATCCATTATCTACTTCTATAAAGACTAAATTGGGTTTATCCGATAAAAACTCTCTTAATGATTAAATTAGTATCTTTTTAGTTTTAGGCATAAAAGCGTATAAAGAATTTATTGTTTATATCTTAAGTTCGGAATAAAGTTACATTTTGAGAGATTATTTTATATAGTTTCTATCGACCAATTTAATATAAAAACATCTTTTATATGTTATATTGACGTAGTGATTTGAGTCTGTATATCATTCGAATTGATCGAAAATAATAATCATACCATTTGTTCCTTTTATTGTGCTTTGAGATATTGATTTTGTTCAGATAAAATATGTTATTTATTTTAAGATTTCTTCGTTGTTTATATTAAAAAATAATTAAATTGATTTTTGATTGTCATTTTATTGGATGCATCAAGCATATTGAATATTTTTTTCTCTTCAATAAATATATCAGGTACAAAGGATACGATTCACAAGTATTATGTATTATTTCAATCAATATAATCTTTTTCTTTCTATTTTATTTCTATCATGGTATCATAGCTCTCACTATGAAGGCTACTTCTAAACATCTCGAAGTAGACCCATCTCCTCGCCAGACTCCATCGAATCTTGGCTCTTTCTCCTACTACCTCGTGGACCGCAACTCCATCTCAAAGTAATGTAGCGTTTTCCACGGACGTCCTCCAGGATCGTTGCGTCGGCCTCCTTCATAAGGGACACCAAGCCGCGCCCACTTCTCCTCCTTGTCCCAACGGCATTCTTTACTGTCGCCCTTCCTTTGCCTCTTCCTGCAGAAGCAGAGCCGATGTAGCCTCGCAACTGCTCCCCGGCCAGCGACCTCTCCTCCTCATTCCCGCATCTCGCTCGAGCGAGAAGTGTCGCTGCCGTCATCCTTGCCGTAGCAGCCCTCGCAGTCGTAGCAGCCCTCACAGCCGCAGCAGCCCTCGCAGTCGCAGTAGCCCTCTCTACCGCAGCAGCTGCAGTAGTGATCTGCTCTTCTCCCAAGCTACTATCCTCTGCTTCTTCTTCGCCTCAACAAGCAGCATCCGAAACCATTTCTAAGTTCCCAACTGCAGAACTGTTGCACAAAGACTGCAGCATTGCTACACAGAGATCTACAGCTTTACACAATATTGATCATTGTCAATATTAATCAACAACCCACAACCCATTTGCCACCATTTACCACCACAACCCATTTGCCACCAACACCTCTTCCTCCCTGATCATTGTCTCGTTGTAGACTTCTAGTTGCTCCCACATATTGGTACATATCCTCCATATGTCCTCATCATCTATCTCTAATGCTCCCATTACTATTCCTGCAAGGAACCACAGTACTTTCCCACATACAGGCCTTATCTCCATAAATGCAGTAACCCTTATTTCCTTCAAATTATCCAAAGGTGGCAACTACGCATCTTGACGTACTCAATTCTCTAATCTACTATTTGGTTCTGATCTTCTAGGCTATGTCAATGGCTCTCTTCGTTGTCCACCGACGACGCTCAACATCCCAGGCGCACTCAATCCAGTACCAAATCCAGACCACAAATTATAATTAAGCCAGGATCGTCTCATCCTTCAAGCTATTCAAGCCTCGGTCGCTGGATCCCTCGCCCCACTCATTTCTTCATGTAACACTATTGCCGAAGCTTGGTGCAAGTTGCAAACCACCCTAGCCAATTGTTCCCGCACTCACATGCTTAGTCTCCTGTCCAGTCTCATGACGATAAAATAAAAGGGAAGTACTGTTGCTGATTATCTACATAACATAAGGATTATCATCGATAACTTGGCCTTGATAGGTCATTCCCTCAATGATGAAGAACTTACTGTCCATATCCTCAATGGCCTAGGAGATGAGTACAAGGAATTGGCAACAGCAATACGTGCACGTGATTCTCCAGTGTCATTTGAAGAACTCTATGATAAGTTGACTGACTATGAGATAT